ATTTTCGGTGTAATTTTACATCTCTTTCACACTTTAAGTGAGTTAATAAGTGGGAGGGGGACGGTGTACACTTACGGTGGTGATAAAGAGGCAATTATTGATCGGAATTACATATTGCTGCAGTGTGAAGGTGAGAAAATTGGGTGTAAAAGTGTGCAGCGCTCATCAGGCATATTATACTTGGTAGCACGCGATACCAGTAATGTGTACATCGACTTCACACCAATGCCTGCTATTATCTCACCTTACACTGTTTAATTATTTCCCCAAAAGTGAAATCAATGTTTCTCGGAGAGTAATTTGATCGACTTTGTTTTTTTTCTGAAAACCTGACGCGTACAGTAATTTGCATGGTAAGTGTCTTTGTATGTCAAATTACGTAATACGAATGTATGGATAGGATTTTTAACACCTTAAAAGAAAAAAATCATACGAATAATTCCCTCATGTAAATAGTATGATTTTTTCTAATTAAATTTTATAATCTGACCGCAGCTTATGTTTCCGAAGGTGAACCCTCCACAAATGGAGGTCATGACCTCCAGGATTACAGATGTTATGAAATTATCAATAGAAACTATCATGTTAACAAGAATACACCATTAATTAAACATCAGTAAAATCGCTTATTTCACAAACAAAATAAAACTTTTGCTCCTTTCATCATTTTTAAACCAATTATAAAAATATGTCAATAATATCACGGATTAATCTATTCCGAATCTATTTGAAATATTACATAAATAATACGTTACATCAAAACAATCATATATCGATTTTTGTAAATCGATGACCGAAATCGATACTTCAATTAAAAAACCTAATTTAACGAATGTTTAAAGTATTATGTAACTGTAAACTTTATGCAACTATTACTACAGACTTTTGATAGTTCAATTCTTTATTTTTACATCATTTTTTAATCTACAAAGAACATATATTTCATTCAACATTGTCCGTTTAATTGTAAACCGTAATTCAAAAATCGAACACATTGGGACATAGCGGGATCCGAACAGAGTCACTGAAGCTGACAAAAATTGACAAACATACAACCTCAAATATAATAAAAATACCAGAGAAAAACCTTCTTTTCTCAGCTGGATTAAAACGAATAATGATATCTCAATCTTAAATTTTTTAAACAAGCAATCGGCCTTCTAAAACAGTGGTGGCTCAGTGGTTTAAGCTTGACTTGTCTACAGGTCTTAGGTTCGAAACACGCCGTGTACCAACGTGATTTTTGAATTTTCATATGTTCATAATTTATCTAACGTTCTTACGGTAAAACATCGTGATGCCTGCACATATCGGCAAAGAAATTCAAAGATATGTGTGAAGTCAACCTGCAGTAGGCCAGCGTTGACTATGGCCTAGTCACCCCTTACTTAGGGTAGGCTCCGAGTCCCTCGGGATTTATAGTGAGCTGGTGATGATGAAACGGCCTTCTTACTTAGAATAGCGAATCGTACGTTGCTCAAAATCGGTCATATCATTTAACAGTTTTCAATAAGACGGAAGTCACAAATGTACATTACCCTCATCAATCTTTAAAAAATTAAATTACTTAGCTAGTGAGTTTTTAATTACAAACAAGTTAATTGTGTAATTAACTGTTTTTACTTATAAAAATTAAATCAACAAAACGTTTCACATTACTTCTTATACATCTATCATCAAATGTTCATTAAATATTCACATTTAAAGACCTCGTGTATAATTCATAATGAAATTATTACAAAAAACTAATTTATTCAAGTACAATTTTTGTAACATTTAAACACTTATCATGTGTCAAACATAACCAGGTATGTATAAAAATGATGAATGTAATAAAATAGAATTATGAGCAATTAAATTATCGCGGAATTCATTTATGTTTAACTTTTTTCTTATCAATCAATTATCTCGGATATTTTTTTTATTTACATTTATGTCATGAACGATAATAATTATTGTGATTATTGTACCGTGGATTCAAAGAGAGATATTATAGAATCGTTATAATTAAGTACAAAAATTATTATCTAACTGTTTTTATTTCTGCGGATGCACAGTATGTACTGCTCCATACATCTCTATCAGCCGTCATATCTGAATCCACTCCCTTCTTAAGCATATTTTCTCTCACGATCCACCCATACTTTCTTCGATCTTCCTCTCTCTACATTTGAAGCCACATTCAATCTCAATTTCTTGTTTTTGTGAGCCTCATCTCGCTACATATGTCCATACCACATCTTTTCGTTTCTCAATTACTGCTAAATTTATTTATTAGTTTACTAGCTTTCGCCCGCGACTCCGTTCTCGTGAAAATAAAAAAAAACAAAAGTGGCTTATGTTTTCCAGATTATACTCAAAATCTGTATCAAATATCATCGAAATCCGTTAAGGCGTTTAGGCTACAAACTCTTACAAACATCCATCCATCTTTCATCATTTTTGCATTAATAATATTAGCATGATTTTTATTAGAGTTTTATCCATTATGGAAAAATATAAATAACTAGCTGTTCCCTTTCGGCTTCATCCGCATGAAATTATGAAAATTTTATTTATTGTTTACATTTGTCAAATTATCAATTGCAAATGTCAAAATGACATGACATGATGACAAACTATGACAATCTTACTTCCTTGATGTTGGCAGCTTGTAGCTTATGACCCCTTTCCCATATTAGAGTATTTATCCAATGTATTTACCCCCTAAGTTTTACAGCGTGAAAATATATAGCCTAAAGCGAGACTTTAGTGTAGGGCTTTTTAATAAAGAAAGTATTATTCAAAAAAGTGCTGTGATTGCTGACATCTTAGGCAACAAAGAAGTGTGTGTTTACGCTTTATTGTATTAGTATAGAAGTATAGATTAATATATAACTGTGTCTAATTCTAATTAGAATTTAATACATGTTATAGAAAAAAGATAGCGTGATAACAAAAGATATTAATTTTTAATAAGTGTTTTATTGTAACATTCTTTAGTAATGTGTAAACATTTATATACGCTTATTTCATTGCTATTGATAATTAAACTATGAAACGGAAAGACAGAGAAACATTCTTTATTTGCAGCAGAAAAAATTATGTTTCAAAGTTTATATATAGCCATCTGTAAAGTTGAAGTTGATTTTTTAATTTCCTGTTTAACCAAAGACATAGAACGGCTTTATAACATTTTATTGTAATACAAAGTATAAATTGTTTTTTAAATTTGAATTTAGAACACTTTATTTATAGGTTTAAAGTTAAAACAAACGATTACTCGCAACGTTATCAGCGTAAAATTAAAAAATAACTTTTGTTACACCCACAAATATTAGCTTCAAAAGCTCCATCAAAATCATCAAGTGGCTTAAAGTATTTAGATTGGTTTTGAAATATGAAATGTTTAATTTAATCTTACTTGTCTTACTAATATTATAAATGCAAAAGTTTAGATGGATGTTTGTTAGAGTTTGTAGCCTAAACTGCTGAACGGATCTATCTAAAATTTGAAATAGATGTAGAGGATAGTCGGGAAGAACACATACGCTATTCACTTTTGTTTTTTTTAATTCCACGCGAATGGAGCCGCGGGCTAAAGCTAGTAATATTATAAATGCGAAAGTTGAAATGGTTGTTTGTTAGAGTTTGTAGCCTAAATTTCTAACCGGATCTCGATGAAATTTGGTACATACAGGTAGATGGTATTCTGGAAGAACACATAGGGTGCTTACTTCTGATTTTACTTTAATTTCCGCAGACGGAGTCGCGGGCGAAAGCTAGTTTTACGTATAGACACTTCATTTTATTAACAGTGTTTGATTTATTTTGACGTTATTATAGAAATTAAGTTATGTGGTTAAAATGTTATTTAATGTGACATTATTACGTTACTTTGAAGGCATAGGGGTAGATTTTTATAATAATACCCGCATTATTATAATATAACACCTTTTCCAGTATAACTATACTTATTTCGAATAATTATTAATTATTTTAAACATCCATGATGTGTGAGAGTGCGTGGTCATTAGAAGTATTTTGTATCTTCCTTTACTTAAAGAAAAATGTAAATAAAAAAGCATTCTCTTTTACGCATTTTATCTAATCATATAACATATTTAAAATACATTAAAATTAATCGGGTCAATAAGAAACACAAATATGAGATAGTCTTTCCCAACCGTAAGTATATATTGCGTGAAACAAAACAAGATATTTTGGCCTATATCGTTTTAAAGCAGATTATAATTTAATTCTTACTTAGTATTACAAATGCGAAAGTTAGTGTGTTTGAATTTGTGTTTATTTTTGTTTTTGAGTACTATTCTGGAAGACCATAATATATAAATAAGTTTTTATATTAAATCTTAATCAAATCTTACCTTATTTTTAATAGTTATAGAAGAATGAATTGATATAAATACGAGACCGTCGGGACGCATAATTAAGAAAAATAAGCTTCTAGATAACAAATTTATTGAAATCAGGTCGATTGTGATGTGTCGCGTTGATGTCTTTTATTCCCGCATATATTTTCTACATGTTTGACAAACTTTTTTGTATTTCATTCTCACTTTACTTGTTTACGATACATGATATTTAAAACTTGAATATAAAACGTGTCTCACCTGTTTCGCTTAATCTTTATATTAAGTAGTGTGAAATTAAAAATAAAAGTTTTAAAATTTTATTGTTGAATGATTTTTATTTCTGTTTTTAAATAAATGAATGCACATTTTGTTTAAGTAATAAATTTAGTTTTTTGAATATTAAAACACTTAAATTTCCTATAAGAAAATCAGGAGATTTACTTTTTATAATCTTTAAATTACTTTTTACATCAACAATTGTTTATTAATAAGAATAAAAATTTACTTCGTACTTAATTAGTATTTTACTGTAGTATTAGTAAATCAACCACTCGTTCATAACGACAAATGCATTCTTCTGATTATTTTACAAATAAATAACATTAAAAAGAATTATTTTTTAAAAAAACCGTAGAAAAACCTTACCTTTTTACAATATCAGCTAAGAACAATTACTTATCAAACAGAATCATAGACATATAAAGTTCATTATTACACACTAAAAAGTTTATATTGAAAACACTTAAAAAAACACTGGCAACTAACACGAGAAATTAAAAAGTACCGATTCCGCTGGGCGTTGGAAAGCGCGTACGTAAGCTCGTACCGAAGCGTGGCGAGCTTGTAACGCGCCGGTCACCGTATCGTTGCCTCCCGGCCCCGCCTCTCAACGGTGGGGACGATACACCTCTTAGCTTCTTCACACTTCGCCTCTACCTACTAGAGTGACCACCCAACAAGACCTACCACACCCCTTTTACTACCACACAATTTACGACCGCGCAGGGTAATCCTTATTGTAAACTTAGATCATTTTACATTGGTTATCATTGATCAATCATTCCATCGACTAGTTAAGGTAATTTAGACTTTATTCCGATAGAATAAGGACTTGTTGAATGTATTTTTAAATGTGTAAGTACTTTAGGAACATCTGGGCGGGAAGATAAGGCCGTGTAAATGAATACCGGTAGGCAAGTACGTACTATATAAATGGTTTCTATTAGTGCCTTGGAGTGTTTTAATGGATTAAATTATTATGGTTGTGTGTAATTGAAAAATATGCCGATTGAGGTATAGAAATATTTCGTAATTCTTTCACACTTGAGTAAGTGAAATTTTATTAACGTTTTTTTATCATGTTGTAATTGTACAAAGTCCAGTTTTTAGATACGTTTTTTGACTTGATTTCTCTTATATTTGATATAGTTGCGAGGAGTTGTAATGTATGTTCATAAAAGATTTATTGACCTAAATAAATTGATTTTATTTTTATTAGAATTTGATCTATTTTTACAAAACTTCTACTGTTACAATTTCACTTAGAAGCAAATTTTATTCAAATATTTCGAACTCTTATTTTACGACACGAAACATTTACCAAAAATATACGAAATAACATTAATATATCGCTCTTTTCATAATAACAATTAAACAAAAACGAAACGTAAGTTTTCTATTTTCAAATTTCAAAAATCCTATAAAAACCGGAAACATTGTTACCAACATTTCAACCCTATTATAAAACCGGTTTTAATTTCAACATTATCTGTAATCAGTACATCTTTTATAGGAAAGTTGTTATGACGGTTGTTACTTACACGTCCGATTTGACCGGTAACAAGTGAAGGCACTAACTTCCGGTTTCTAATAATTAAATAAGTAAAATAGTAGTTATCAAACGATAACATCACTATGAAATAAACGTTAACAAAAAACAAAATTTATCGTTTTATGAAGAGTTTCTTCCTCACATCTTTAATATTATAAAAATGATAGGTTTATTTTGTAATCAATTTAAAGTCTCACCAAATAAGGTTCATTATAGATTGCATTTTTTAATTAGATAACCTAATTATAAAGATTGTGCAAACATGAATTTAACGCAGATTAAAACTAATCTAATTCTATTTCCCTTTATCTGTTCTTTACTTTTCTACAGTCGTCTAAAGCTAATCTCTATTTTTTTTTGTTATAACATAAGGTGACAAACGAGCAAGCGGCCATCTGAATCCACGAAGTGGAAAGCGACCGCTGCCTATAAACATCCGCAATTGCAGATGCGTAGCCTACCCTTGATTAACGGAGGAGGAGACGCACATAAAGAGGACATTTCCCCTTCCACTTCTTCTTCTCCACCGTCAAATCCACTTTTTCCACTTAAGAAAAGGGTGGAAAGAGAAAGGGACTAATATTACTCCTCCAGCACCACGTTCATCAGACAAAACGCGGAAGTGCTTCCACTTCACGCCTGTTTTCTGTGTGGTCGTGGTATTACACCGGGGAGCCGACCCATTCGTGCGAAGATGTTAAAGCGGGCTCTATCACAGATAAAAAATATAAAAAGAATGTCCTTACCTTTAAATGTAAAGTTCTGTTTTACAGATATTAGGTAATTCTATGACATTTTGATGATAATAAGTGTGTTAATAGTAACATATAAACTGTTTGTTAACGTTTCAAATAAGTGTATCCGGACCTTTATGTCACAAATAGCATAAAGCGTAAAATAAGCGCTAGTCAAAAGTCACGGCAATTACATAGTTATTTCTCGCGTAGACGTGATCACCGTACTGCCGGTACGTGATGTTATCTACAATGACATTATGATTTACATCGAACATTACTAACGAGACAATGGTTTTAATACGGAATAATGTATAAAGTGATAACTTACGCCTCCCAAAATAATAGCTACGATTGGTCCTTTGAAATCTTCTAAAATGTCTACTTTAAAGGAAGTAAACGATAATGCTACTAGCTGTTACTCGTGACTACATACACATGAAATTTTAAGATATAGCCTATGCTACTCGGTGATAACGTAGCTTTTTAATGGTGAAAGAATTTGAGTTATTTCAATACATACAAGAATACAAATTTTTGCTATATAAATGCGAAAGATTAGATGGATGGATGTTTGTTAGAGTTTGTTGCCTAAACGTCTGAACGGATTTCGATGAAATTTGGCATAGATGTAGAGGATTGTCTGGAAGAACAAATAGGATACTTGTTTTGTTTTTTTAATTCCAGGAGCACGGAATCGCGGGCATAAGCTAGAATTTTAGTAAATACAAGACTAAAAAGTGTAAAAGATGTTTGCAACAACGTATCTAAATTACCGGTCTCGGTGTCGTGTTCATATAAAATGTCAAAGCGTCCGTCCGCCGTTCGACTATCTCAGTCACAATCAGCGTTTGCACCCGAATGAGCACCCTCGAATTATAGGGGAACTGGCCGTTGTTATGCCACAACTAAAACAACGGACTTGATATATGGAAGGGATTTTTTTAAAAAAAAATATGAACAAATAGCTGTTCCTCGCGACTTTTGTAGTGGTGAAAGAATTTTTCAAATCTGCCCAGTAGTTTTTGAATTCTTTCCATACAAACAAATAATCTTTCCTCTTTATAATATTATAGATTTCATCATGCCATAATTCTATGGTTATTCAGCATGTGGGGAATCTGAATATGTGCTTACAACTGATAGTGGAAAATGATCGGCCAATGTAAGCAAGTGTACAGGGACTTAGTTGACGAGTTTAATGCGAGGAAGGAAACGTAAGGACTCTCACCCAACGCATGCTGGCCTTAACGACAAAAAAACCGTTCTCGCATGCGGAGGCTTGCATGTGATTATGGAACTGCGCCCTAATGATTTTATTTGTCAATCATAGATCATCTCATTTTAATACTACTAGTCCTAGCTAATGGTTACATTTGTGGTTACGGTATTTTAAAGATCTAAATAAAATTGATAATAATAAAAAGTAAAAACAACACATAAAATTTTAAAGAAATATAAAAAAAAAGTTTTTTTCTCAAGTCCCCAGTTATCGTAAAACTTACAGCTATGTTTAAAAAAATGTCCCACGCATCTGCGCGCGTCAGTCTCGGCGCCACAATTACACCGACAATACAACAAAATGTCACCATTTTAACAACATTAATGTTTTTTGCAAGCCCCGTGTTTATAATTTCCGAAAAACGCAATTTTCTTTCATAACTCCCATCTTTATGATCGAAGATAGGACAACATATTTGGCACAACAATTACAAAATAAATATCTCTAAATTGCCTTGTATTTTTCCATTTGTTTTAACCAATTTATAATTACAACTAAATAATAAATACGTATAATAATTTAACAATGGTAGAGCCCGCTTTAACATCTTTGGACAAATGGGTCGGCTCGCCCGGTATACTACGACCACACAGAAGACGGCGTGAAGTGGGAGCAATTCCGCGTTTCGTCTGATTAGTGTGGTGCCGGAGGCCGAATTTTAGTCCCTTTCCCGTTCCAGTCCAGTTCCAGTTCTTATAAGGAAAGGATTGGATGCGTATGTGGATTTGACAATGGAGGTGACGCATATGAAGGGGAAATATTCTCTTTACGTGGGTCTTATTCCCCGTCGATTTAGGGTATACAACGTAATTGCAATTGCGGATGTCTATGGGCATTGGTCGCTTCGACATTTTGGCGGATTTAGGTGGCCGCTTGCACTTTTGCCGCCTTATAATTAAAAAAAAACGTAACTCGTATTATAAACATTCTAAATTATATCAATAGTTTTATTATCTATAAATAACCTCACTGTTACATTAGCGAAAATTAAAATAAGTCTTGGATTACAAAATTAATTTTTCCTTCACTAAGAGAAAGTTCACTTAAAAAAATTAAATGAAAGTATATTTTCTTTATATAACGATAGATCAATGGAAATTAAAAATAAACCAAACTTAATTCAACTGTCGAAAGAGAAAAGGATACAATATACGGAACGGTATTTGTTAGACAGAGTAAGAGTATAGTTGGAAGCCCCGTCTTCAATGAGGGCGTGTCCAAATAGATAGCTTCTTGACATTTTCAATTCGCATCCCATTAGCTTTTTATTTGTCTGTTCAAAGAAAAAAAAAAGTTCGATTGGTAATTGGAATCCAAGTTCCCTTCAGATAATTGAGTTATTATTCCCGCTCGCTTTGCGACAACCCAGGATGGTCAAGATTTTTTAATCGCCTCGAATGGATTTAATAAAGTAATTTGTGCACTGACCTCTATAAATGGACAGGCTATAAACTTAATTGACTACGGCAATATTGACGTTTGATGGTTGCGGTTGGACGCGGTGAAGTCTTCGAACTAATAATACTGTAGTACGAGTAATAATAACTAATACTTAACGGTAGTAATAATAAATAGTAACATTAACGTCAAGGAATTTAAGTCGTAAGGTAGCATAAGCTGTCATTTCCAAACAATCGCCTATCTATTTTTATATCTCTGTGAAGTTGTGTTCCATTTTTGAATTGCAATTAGGCCAATTCGAATTTATTAATTTTGATCGATAATCGATTATTTTATATCCAATTAATTAACGTTAACGATTTTTGTAGTAAAAAATGTAATAATGCAAGCAACATCGTTTATGAAAATTAAAGTTATTGTCTTGTCACAATATGCAACCTAAAAAATATGACGCCTTTTCAAACTTAATAGATAGTTATATGACTACGTGTTTTAATTATTAATAATAAATGAATATGAAGTTTAAAATAAAATGAATAACCTAACCTTAAAGATACAAAAACCTTATAGACTCAGGTTCTA